CCCTCGCCGCCCCTTGCCGCCCCTCTCCGCCCCCCGCCGCCATTCCGCGCAGCATCCGCGCGCGCCGTAACACCGAGCCGCGAGCAAAACGTAAACAGACATTTTAAAACGAGAATACATGATGCGCGCGCGAGCGTAGCGTCCTCCCGCGTCAGGGCAAGGTCGCCCGTGGTGCCGGCTCCCACCTGCTCCCCGCCCGGCGCTCGCTGCCAAGGGAATAGGGAAGCAGGCGGCACCCCGCGGCACGAATCGCGCGCCCATCCCGCCGGGATGGGACAAGGGAGAGAGCGAGGGGGGGGGGAATTCTGAGATCTTGTGTGCAACAAATTACCCCTGGATTACCCTCCGATCACCCCAGATTATCCCCGAATAACTCGGGTAACCCCGAGGGTCAGCATCCCAGATGGAACTCCGTGTCGTGTCGAGCAGGTTGCCAATGTCTTTTTGCCCCCCTCGGTTTGGATAGAGAGTGGGTTTTGCCGCCGACCCCCACCCGCGCCGCGGGGAGCTGGGACGGCTCCACGTTCCCCGCGCGGAGAGACGAGCTCTCGCGGCAGCTGCAACGGGGAGACATCGAGAAGTGTTCGGATGTATGGTATGGTCCGGGTTTCCGGTTGACGGGGGGCGGCGCCACGCAGTCCGCTCGTGCGGGGGTGGCCGTGGTCTGCCTGCCATCCCGGCTCGCGTCCAAGTACAGACTCTGGGTCGTACACTTTGTTTGCCAGGTTGTCAACGCCCGTGAAGCGAACAGTGGTCAGGAGGAACCGGGGGCTGCCAGGAGGACCAGAGGTTGTTCCACTTCTAGCAGAGCAAAAACATTTCACTTGCGAGAGAGATTGTAGAGGGAATGTTTTAACAATGCCATGCTGTCGGTTTGCGATCTGCGAGTTAGATTGGGAGGGTTTCAGTCTCGGTTGAAACCGATTACCAAATCAGATAGATGTGTTTCTAATTTCTATTTTTAAAATTTTCCTGCTCCTTTCTAAACTGAACACGCGTGTCAGAACCGAACCCTTTTACGACGTCGACGAAAGAAGCACTCAACTTCTTCTCTCAGCCGCTGTCGCTGCCTCCCTCTTGCAAGGCCGCCGCCGAGCTGGGCGGAGTGCGGGCGGCGAGCCCCTGGGCGGCGGGCCGTCCCGCCACGCACCACCACTCGCCGCGCTGCCTACCTTGGCGCCTGGAGCCCGTCCCGAGTCTCCTTCCTCTCTCTCTGACCGGCTGCGTGTCTCTTTCTGTCACAGGCGCCGCGGCCCATGATCACGGAGTACGTCCCTGGAAGGAAGGGCAGCGGGCGCTCCGACCTCGCCCTTAGCAAGTGAGTACCCGTCCCTCGAGGACCTCGCTAGGGGACCATCCCCCCAAGTACGTCCGTTGTTCGCCGTTACGAACCTATCAAGTTCAAGGCTTCGCAAGCTCTCTTAGCGCCTGATGATAGGCAACATCTCGCCTGCAGTGCATGCGTGTAGTGCGGGGTGGCCTACCCTGCAGTTCGCAGGCGCCCAGCTTCCGCAATTTTCAAATGCTCTCAGGAAAAAAGGACGTACTTTCTGGACGATCCCTAGTCCACTGGAAAAACTAACGTTACATGTGTCACGCTTCTTGATGCCCTCCAAAGAGAAGACGTTTCCTGATGCACCCACACACTCTCACTCTGATGCCTCTATCATTTTGCATGGAGTGGAGTGCATCAAGAAACGTTCTCTCCTGAGAGTGCATGGTAACATGTGACACGTTTCACACTAGTTTTTTCAGTGTCGCGTCGCCCTGTGACCGGCACGAGCGGCAACACTGATGAATCCACTTTACCCGCTCAGGTTCAAGTGCAAGGAGAATGGCGTGTCGGTGGCCGTCACCAACGGCTCCACCACCCCGCTCGTGGAGAACCCCATCGAGGACGAGGAGGCGGGCACCTACGACCCGTTCAAGCACCGCCACCTGGAGCACCCCACCACGGACCTGGACACGCTTATCCACCTGCTCAAGGGCAGCCTCGGCACCGGCATCCTGTCCATGCCGCTCGCCTTCAAGAACGCGGGGCTCTTCTTCGGTCTCGTGGCCACCTTCACCATCGGCTTTATCTGCACATACTGCGTGCACGTGCTGGTGAGTATACGCCCGAAAGCATCTTCTTGTCGTAATAAACTGCGATATTATTTATTTATTTTTTGGGGGGAGGGGCGATTTCTTTTTCCCACGGAACTTTGATCTCAGGGGTTAAAAACAACGGGTGGCTTATCAACACGGAAAAGTTCATCGTCAATATTTATTTAAACTGGAACGACCATCGGCAATCTTTATCAAAACGGGAGGGGCGGTCCTGTTGAGGTAACTTCATAATGACTTCGAAAGTGGTTCCGCTTTGGCCTATCAATCCGCATCCGGCGGCTGTCGCGAGGGGAGAGGGAGGCTGGCGCGAGCGACGGATAGCCAACCCCCTCCCCCCGTCCTCCCCATCCATGTTTATTTACGTCTTGCGCGTCGCCAACGCCGGGGCGCTAACAGCGAGTGACGCGCGCGCTCTGCCCGCCGGCTCGATTGCGGAGCGGAGCTCATTTCGTCACTCCGCGGCGTCACACTCGTCGTGGCGCGGCGTGGCGTTAGCGGCTGCACGCGCAAGCACGTCACGCGCGCAGAGATCAAAATGCTGATGGATTCCGTTCTCTGCCTTCTCTCTCCAGGTGAAATGCGCGCACGAGCTCTGCAGGCGGACGCGGGTGCCCTCCCTGGACTTCGCAGACGTGGCGGAGACGGCCTTCTCCTGCGGCCCGTCCGCCGTCCAGAAGTTCTCGAGGCTCGCGAGGTGAGCGGGGTGAGCGCCGAGCGCAGCTGGGGGTAGCGAGCGCTTGTGTTTGTGGCCGTCGGGGGCACCGCAATCAGCCGCCATTCAAACGCGGCCGGAGTTTGCGATTGCCTACAACCCTATTCGCCTCCCAACCCAAAACTCACCCGCCTAACTCTGCTTGTCGTCCCGTCCGCAGGGCCGTGATCAACACCTTCCTCGTGATCGACCTGCTCGGCTGCTGCTGCGTGTACCTCGTGTTCGTCGCGACCAACCTGCAGCAGGTGGTGAACCACTACACCGGCAGCGACCTGAGCGTGCAGATGTACATGATCATCATGCTCGCGCCCCTCATCCCGCTCAACCTGATCCGCAACCTCAAGTACCTGTCGCCCTTCTCCATGGTGGCCAACCTGCTCATCGGCACGGGCATGGCCATCACCTTCTACTACATACTCACCGACCTGCCCTCCGTCAGCGAGCGACCCTCCTTCTCCACGTGGCCGCAGCTCCCGCTCTTCTTCGGCACGGCCATCTTTGCCCTGGAGGGCATCGGCGTGGTCAGTACGCGGCAAGGGCAGAGGCCACCTTCAGCCGTACCCAGTGCGAAATGAATTTTAAGCGATATCGAATCGATATCAGAACGATATCGTTTTCAAGTTTCTGACTCAGAACTGATTCAAAAATGGGCCCGAAATCGACAATTTTCTGATGTCCGATATCGTTCTGATGTCAATTTGATATCCGCATTTCTCACTGGGTAGTCGGCACGCTCGCTCACTCGTACTGACGCAATCTTTAACCGCAGGTGATGCCGCTGGAGAACAACATGAAGACCCCGACGCACTTCATCGGGTGCCCCGGCGTGCTCAACACTGGCATGGGTGTCGTCGTTTCCCTGTACGCTTTGGTCGGCTTCTTTGGCTACCTGAAGTACGGCGACATCACGGAGGGTTCCATCACTCTCAACCTGCCTCAGGACCCGTAAGTGTAGATCGTAGCGGAAAAACTGTGCCCTCTAGCCTAAATAACTATAAAGCATTCCGGTAAAGCTGAAATGCAGAAGAATGCAGGGAAGAAGAAGACGGAAATCGCTATGCTTCAACATGGTGACTTCCGTTTTCTTGATCCTCGAATTCTTCTGCATTTCGGCTTTACCGGAATGGTTTATTGAACTACATCCTTCTCATGCGCACACCACATTTCTTTCCACAGGCTGGCCCAGTCCGTCAAGGTGATGATCGCCCTGGCCATTTTCCTGACGTACGCCCTGCAGTTCTACGTGCCCATGGAGATCATCCGCAAGGGCTTCATCGACGTGCACCTCAGAAAGTACCCAGTCGCTTCAGAGTACATTTTACGCGTATCTCTGGTCCTCCTCACCGGTAAGTAGTGTTCAGCGTCCCGTGTTTGTATGCACGCTGTGGCGAGACGTACCTCACGACCAACTCTGCATTGCAGTGGGCGTCGCCATCGCCATCCCCCACTTGGGGCCCTTCATCTCGCTCGTGGGTGCCGTCTGCCTGTCCACGCTGGGGCTCATGTTCCCCGCCGTCATCGAGATCGTCACGTTTTGGGACACGCCCGGCGGCCTCGGTGCCGGCAACTGGAAGGTGTACAAGAACCTGGCCATCATTGCCTTCGGTATCCTGGGCTTCGTCACCGGCACCTACGTCAGCATCCAGGAGTTCGTCCACGAGTTCTCAAAGCACCCGTGAGCGCCGGAGCCGCCCAGGGCCGCCGCCCTGGCCAACGACAACTAGGGGACGCCCCCGATGAAGGAGGCCCTCCCCTCCCCAGTATACTCTTGCATGTAATTTTTAGTTACGGTACTGTGAAGATGCGCATTCGACCGGAATCCAACTATACTGTCGTCGAGAGAAAGCAGGGTCCCCTGTCCCGTCGTGTCCCCCCTGGACCTGTGATCTGTAGGATTACAAGCTGTAGTTTTACTTCCTGGCCGCGGCCAGGACGTGAGGTGTGCGCGACTGCCCGTCCCACCGCCGTTCCAAAAAGAAGCAAAAATCAGCTAAAAGAATATTTTTTCAAAAAGTACAATTAAGCAACTGTGGACTTTGGAATGTCATGTTTGGCAGTTGAACGTGCAGGCTCGCACCACCCACAATATTGATGCAGACTGTGATTATCAGGTGCTTCCTTGTTTTATAGTGTATGGCGGCATGAAGGAGGTAGAGGAGGGCCAGAGCATTGGCCGCGCTTTTGGCGTGGACGGTGCGGAGTTTGAACTGCGTTTCCTGGGCCTCTGAAATCGATTCACGCGTTTATCGACTGAAGGTGCATTCCAAGATGAAAAGAGGGAATAATCAGACGGCTTGAGATGGTGAGATTGCAGAAGGGTTGTGCCATGCTGTTCAATCAATGCCTATGTTATTAGTTCGCTTGCGTCGGATATAACTAAACCTTGTGCGCCGTCGATACATTGGTTGGTAAAACAAAGTATAAAAATTTAAGCGGATCGGTAGATATGTTTTTCAGAGTTATTCCCCGAAGCCACAACAGCATCCAAATTAACGTGTCTTGGAAGTTCTCCTTTTACCGTCTGTAACTTTTGTGTTTGTGCTTGCTTATAATACCCCCGCTACCAGCAGGGTTTCATATCATCATTTCGCGACTTCCCATCGGCCTTACTCATTCATATCTCACATATAACGTTGATTTAGCCGAAATCGGCAAATGATCTGATTCATAAAATTGTTGCCGTGTGTTAGTCATCCCGTATCGCGGATTTTATTTCACTGTGATACTAGAGAAAGGAACAATAAATAATATTTTATTTATCTCTCAATTTAGAATAAGTCGCGGTAAAGCAGACGATGAATCTCCTAATTTCCTAAAGTTATAAAGCTCCAATTTGTTCGGTCTCTTAAAATAATTTTGCTGTACACGTATTTTCGTTGCATTTCAAGGAAAAGCCGGCGAGGTGCTTCATAGCATCTCATTCATTGTGTGTACCATAGATTCATCGCTGACTTTAGGAAAGAAAATAGCTGTGAGTACTACATATTATAATAAATTAAAAGGGTTGTGTCTACTTGGATTTCGGTCAATGTCTGCCAAGCAATGTGAATACTTTACAGACATTTTCCTCGCACTAGAGGTCTACTAACCTGCAAAATGAAATCCCTTTCCAGTCGGGAAGAGCGTTATTTCTGTTTGTTTATTCATCCATCACTTTCCATGTTATGTTTTAGTTAACAGTGGAGAGGTGGACCGTGTATTATTTATTTAATTCATAAGATTGGGTTATCAAGTACCATGCTATTATGTATATATAGTATATTCAAGTGAGATTTTAGTAGGGAAGTACCTATACAGCTATAGATATGTGCTGTATCACTCCGGAAAAATTCCCTGAGGGGTTTTATTTTTACATCCAATAAAATATTGTATAGTTATCGAATTGAAAATCCCCTTATAAAATTACTGGCATTTTTCGGCACTTTTTTTGTAAACCCGTATGTTTAAGTTGTCGAACGACATTCCCCCTCAAAAAATAGATACGTATGTATACCGCGTACAAATTTCTTTGAGATTTTCGACGTTTCAACAATAGTGTCTTGTTAGACTATGCATCACAAAGCTGTCAAAAATTCAGATTCCCTATGTCCGGTTGGCCTTGCAGATTCATCATAATTTTGTTTAAAGTGAGAAGACAAGGATTGTTATTGTTGTTTATGTGGATTGACATGTGATAGTTCAATTATTTTAGTTTTAAGTGTATGATGAAGATTTATAGAAATTTCGGAATTTTATGAAGCCTTTCTGAAAGGCATACTTTACATGACAGTATAAATGACTTTTAAGAAAAGACATGCTGAACGAAACTTCTGTTCGCCGCGATGTGAAGCACCATCTTGTTACCTATACATATTTGTGGACGGCGGAAATCAGCGTTCGTTACACCCTTTGCATGTTACTTTATTTGTCACGTGGTTAGCGTAATTCCTGTACGATTCAAGTAAAGCATATGAGAAAATAGTACAATATCTAATTACTTCTGCTCATTACTGTTAATGTTTTATTTCAATTGCATTCTTGTGGCAATGCTAGCCACCCCGTATTAAATTGGAAATTGGAAATAGTCATGTTTATTTTGGCGTGTTGTCGTAAAGAGAATGTTTTAAATCACAAGTTTTTGAGACCGTGTTTTAATTTATTCATCACCAAATACACCCCTTCTTTTCACAAAGTTAGGCAGTGCTCTATGAGAACGCATCGTGAGAGACCTTCTATCTTCGATAGACTGGCAATCACCGATGAATGGACTAGAATTTCCGGAACGCATGACAGACTTCGTCCTCTTACCCAGTGCAAGCACGCACGAGCATCTCCTCTTTCAAGTGCGTCGTCCCCGCCTTTTCCCGCGGCGGGGCTTACGACAATTATCACAGCTCATGTATCTGTCGTGTTCGCGGCTTGTAGCCGTGCCGCGACACCCAGCAGTGCCCAGCAGCAGGCAGCCCACACTGCGTCGCTGTCCGGCCGGTGGCCAGCTGCGCCTGCACGGGCGCTTCGAGTCGAATGGTTTGCCTATCTCACAGGCGTCTCGCCACAAACGAACGGCGAGTCCCGGACGGGGGGAAAAACGTCCCGGCAGCTCCTGGCTATGTGATCACTGAGCGCCGAATACGAACACGCACACATTCACATACACAATCAAACACGTGGCCTGCATGTCCTGCACGCCGCCACGCTAAGAGGGTGATGTGGAGGCCGGGGCCGGCGCCCAGCAGCAGCCGGCGAGGTCAGGAGGAGGAGGAGAACCGGCGAGGCCCGCCGCGCCGCCCTCTTCGCCACCTCTACGAGATGGCGCCGGCTGCAAAGGAAAGGAACCGCGTTAGTTAAAGTCCACGCTCTGAAACCTATGGCGGGCCGACCGGCTCGTGCTCGTACCTGAGGACACCTGGTGCTTCTTGGACTCTGCCGGCGAGGGGCTGTTCCACGGCTGCACCTGCGCGCTGCCCGCCAGCACAAACAGCAAGTTGCCCGAGAAGTAGACGCAGGCCGCGATCATGAACACGATGCTCCAGCCGTTCTCCAGCTCCTGGGGAAACGCCAGCACCACTTCGTCAGACACCCGCTCGGCTTCGCCTGGGATACGCCTGGTCCACGCGGGCGGACGCAGCCTCTCCGGCACCACTCACCTCTTGCGTCGACGTGTTCGCGTCCCCGACGATCTGGCTGACGAAGATAGGGGCGATGATGCCCATGGTGTTGGCAATGGAGTTTGTGACACCCATCATCATGCCGCCAAAGTTGGGCGACAGGTCAACGTGGTTCACGAGGAAGCCTGCTAGGGTGCCAGACTCCAACGCGACGGTCACGGTTAGCAGCGCCACCGCCTGGGTCGAGGTCACGTGGGTAAAAGCGAGGACCATGAGCGCCGTGCCCGCGCCCCAGTGCGCTGCAAGGGAAGGAAGGGTCACTATAGTGAAGATCAAGAGCGACGGCCAACTCATTCCCAGACCAGCCCGGGGATGCACTCACCCATCGAGTTGAACACCTTCCTGGACGCGGTCATGCTGAGGATCTTGCGCTCGTTGACGACCTGCGCCAGGTACCCGACGACAAAGGATGACAGCAGGAGGCAGAGGTACGGAAGCGCCGAGTTGAGGCCGTTGTGCTTGACGTCGAAGTGCAGCACGTTCTTCATGAAGTTGGGCATCTGGGTGAGCAAGATCCAGTGGCCGAAGTTCTGGCAGAGGTGCGTAACTAGGAGCGCGAAGAAGGGCAGCGACGTAGCGATGGAGCGCCACGGCACACGGAGAATCTGCGAGGGAGGGGAGGATGGACGACGGTTAGCAGGCGACCGCGCGCTCTCCAGGACGACCCCGGCGGTCCCGACACTCACCTTATCTCCGCTGGAGGACGCGCCCAAGGCCGACTCGATGTACTCGCGCTCGTGCTCGCTGATGGCCGGGCAGGCGGCGGGGGAGTCGGCGGCCAGCCAGAGCCAGGCGACGCCCCAGACCAGGCCGAGCGCGCCCGGCAGGTGGAAGCCCGACGGCCAGCCCCAGGAGGAGGAGGCCAGCAGCCCGACGCCCGCCATGGTGGACACGGTGCCCAGGGAGGTGCCGCTGTACACGAAGGCGGAGGCGCGTCCGCGCTCCAGGGGCGGGATCCAGCGGCCCAGCATCGTGTGCGAGGACGGGTAGATCATGCCCTGCAACGGGAACAGGGTGAGTGGCGGTCCCGCATCCCGCTCTAGGCCAGAGCCCTGCAACTCCAGGAGCACTCACCTGGAAGAGCCCCTCGCACACGCGGAGCGCGCACATGAGGCGCCAGCCGCCGTAGGCCGCGACGAGCGGCGTGAGGATGGTGAGCAGGGAGCAGCCCACCACGCCCACCATGAGGAACTGCTTGGGGCCGTAGCGCTGGGCCAGCATGCCCGCCGGCACCTGCGTCACCACGTAGCCCCAGAAGAAGGCTGAGAGGATCAGGCCGGTCTGCGACTGGTTCCAGTCGTAGGCCTGCGGAACGGAAACGGAGGGGTGAGACGGGGTGGCGGGGCGGGGCAGGGCGTGGGTAAACTCGACTGGGCGCGCGGCCGGAGGCTCACCGGGAAGCCACTGGTGCTGTTCATGTTCGTCATCTCCACGATGCAGACCGACAGGTTGACGCGGCACGAGTACGCCAGCGAGAGCCCGAGGGACAGCAGCGCCACCTGCAGATGGCGACGCCCGAGCCGCCGGCCCGCATCTGAAAGCCAAAACAGGGTTGGTCAGTTTTCTCCGGCATCCCATTCCCAACCCTCGGGCCCCCCGGTCCCCCCGGCCCCGGGCAGCCACCCCTGCCGGTGCAACTGGTGCACTTGGTGCAACCTGGAGGGCCGACTCGCCCCGGCCACCCGCTCTACGTCAGCTGGCCGGCTTCGACATGCTTTAACGACGCCAGGATCCGAGTGAGAGGAAAAGGTGTTCTCTCCTGAAATGACCAGGTGGTGTCGCCATGGGTCCTGGACCTGGACGCGTCGGCTGGTTTCTGATCCACGCCCAGCCGCGTGTCCTGTTCGTGGAACAACAAAACCGCTCTGTTTACGAACACGGAAAGTGGCACTCCATAGGATTCGAATATCGGGTGTGACGAGCGGTGATGCGTGGTAGCGGGTGGGGTTGGCAGCTGGGTGTGGTCCATTGTTTTGATTCCGTCACAGAGATGAAGGTCACGACGCTAATAATCTCTCTTTTTGTTGATGGTGGCTAAATAGTGATGAGGCGGACCGGCGACACTTTAGCAATAAATTTTCCTAACCATTCCGACCGGACTGCTGCTTTCCACTTCCAGTATCTCTCTGCGATCTCGTCTCTCATACCACTCATATACTCCAGCCTCTCCGCTTAATCATCCCAACGCTAATTGCATTTGGTTTGTGCCTCACTTATATGATTCCATTGTGCTCCCCACTCCCCGCCACTCCCCACCCCGCCCCGCCGCCGCCGTGTCTCTCTAACGCCATGTGAATTTTCGTTGAATTCGTTTGCAGAGTCAGCACAGAAAAAAGTCTGTCTTGATTTGACTTAAGACAAGCAGGTAGCTCCGGTCGATTTGCTCGAGTGATCGCCGTAATTTCTCCTCCTCCGCTTTAAGTACTCGCCTCGCAGCTCGCTGGCGTCATCGCTGGCCTCGGGGGCCTCCTCCCCGGTGCGGGGCCGGCCACACCCCCGCCGGTCCGTTGGCCGCAGTGGACCCGGCGGCACACGGCGCTGCTGGCCCGGCCTAACCTTGCGGCGACCATAGCGGAGCCGCGGAAGCGCGGCGACGTGCATAACGCGAGCTTCCGACCAGCTTTTGCATAATAAAACTCATGACTTTGGCCGGAGAGGGGGGCGCATTTGACACCGCGCCAACGAGGCGCAAGCGCCGGCTGGGCCTCGATGTGCTGGCCGCCGCGCCGACCAAGGCCCCGCGGACGCACCGCCCTGCGAGAGAAAACAACAAACTTACGTCTGAGCCGGCAGCAGTCCAGCGCCCTGGCGGTCCTCGCGAGCGCCCGCCGCGCCGCCGCCCCCACCGAGCGGCAGCGTCGGCTGCTCCGGCGCGCCGCCGCCGGCCGGGCGTCGAGGGCCACCAGCGGCACTCGCTCAGACGCTCTGTCGGCCGCATGCTGATCGGGCTTGAGGTCCGGCCCCCACAGCCCCGCCACCATCCGGGTGCTTGCACGGCGTGCACTCGCTCGTGTGGAGGTGATGAAGCACAGTCTGCTGCTGGACGAGCAGCTCACGAGCCGTACCGGGCCGAAACCACCTGGGGACCACGGGCTCCACGTGTAGCAAACGTCTCCGCCCGCCACGTCGCGACTCTGCGGCTCGCCGGGCCCCGCGCGCACCGGCGGCCCCGCGCCCCTCTCCCCTCGCGCCCGGGCCCGGTCCCGCGCACCGCTAGGCCCCGCGCCGCGCAGCGCCCCGGGCCGGGCCCGGCCGGGCTGTGTACGCTGTGTACCGGCACGGCTACGCGGCCGGCAACAAACGAGCCGGCCCGGCACGCACCGCAGGGCTCAAGCAAGGGCAGCCGCCGACCAGGGAGGACCAGGAGGCGCCGGGCCACCACCCGGAGCTAGTCTGCGACAGGCGCCCCGGGCCTGGGAACCCTAATGCCTTAATCATTCTTATCTCCCTCGCTAATTGGCGAGGTGTCTGGGCCCATTAGCTGTCCAAACAGAGCCTGCGGGCCTCTGTGTGACGGGGCGGTAGCCTGCTGCAGTGATAGCGCCCCGCCCACCTGCGAGCCCGTCGTGGCGTGCCCCGCGGCGCCACCTGCAGCTGGGCGGCCAGTTGGCCCGTGGACCACCGACGGTCGGCCGCGCGCCCCGCAACCTGCGTGGACATTATGGGCCGGCGCGGACAGGAGTCGCGGCGGGATCCACGCAGATTGGCGAGGCGTGGCGTGCCCCCGATTGGCTTGGTCTTGGTTGTGAAACAACCCCGCCCCGTCCTGCCCCCGCCGGCCCCCCGGGGCGCGCCGCACCGCGCTGGCCGCGACCAGTGCGCGGCGGAGAGCGGCGGCTGGGGCGAGGGCCGCCATGCCGTCTCGGGTCGTGTCCATGGTGCAGCGGGCGCGCGGGGCGCGCGGGTCCCGGCAGGCCGGGGGTGGAAGACTACCCGCTGCGTCGCGGCCCCGCGCGGAGCAACGCCCCAGCGGCCCCGCGAGCCTTTCACCCATCGCCGTGTGACCAGGCCCGATCGGCCAGGCCAGAGTACACGCGCTGGTCATCGCCGCCATGCGAGGCGGGCCGGGCCGGGCCGGGCCCCGGGCCCCGCCGTGCTGTCGCCGCAATCCCTGATATCTCCGCGGACTTCCCTCTCCTACTGCGGAGGGTGGAAGAAATGAGGTCTTTGGTGTTGATAAGGATGAGCGGCTGTGGTGATGGAAAATTTGTGCGCGGCTCTGAGTTCGGGCGTCCAGGGTGTCCAGGGGGCAGCGGGAGTGGGTGCAACAGGTGCGTGCGTGGTTGGCGTCGGCGACGGTGGGGCAGCTCGGCACCGGAGGGAGACGCCGACGTCGACGTCGACGCCAGCCTCCGCCGCACCGTCGCGGCGACACGCCACACTGCACTTTTTCCCGGAAGATGAGTCGATCGCGGAGACGTTACTGCCGCCGCGACGTCCCGGCCCCATGCGTTGTGCAGGGAATAATGGAAGAAGCTTTAGCCCCGGGGTGAAGGGGGGAGAGGAGAAGGGG